TGTAAGAATCCCATGCACTGCTACAGCCTGAGGATTGACTGGCTAAGCAGCAGCTCTGCAGAAAAGGACCCGAGGGTTACAGTGGACAATAAGATGGATATGAGTCAGCAGTGTGCCCTTGTTTCTAAGAAGGCTAACAGCATACTGGGCTACATTAGTAGAAGCGCTGCCAGCAGATCAACGGAAGTAATTATTCTGCCCTATTCTGCATTGGTGAGGCCAGATCTTGAGTACTGTGTCCAGTTTTGGGCCCCCCACTATAGAAAGGATGTGGACAAGTTGGAAAGAGTCCAACAGAGAGCAATAAAAATTGTTCAGGAGCTGGGGCACATACTTATGAGGGGAGGCTGAGGGAACTGGGTTTATTTAGTCTGCAGAAGAGAAGACTGAGGGGAAATTTGATAGCAGCCTTCAGCTACCTGCAGGGTGGTTCCAAAGAGGATGGACCTGGACTGTTCTCAGTGGTGACAAACGACAGAACAAGGAGCAATGGGCTCAAGCTGCAGCAAGGGGTTTAAGTTGGGTATTTGGAAAAACTTCCTTACTAGGAGGGTGGTGAAGCACCAGAACAGGTTACTTAGAGAGTTGGTGGAGTCTCCATCCTTGGAGGTTTTTAAGGCCCAGGTTGACAAAGCCCTGGCTGGAATGATCTAGCTGGGGATAGTCCTGCTTTGAGCAGGGGGTTGGACTAGATCTGGCTTGTCCAACATAGGGCCTGCGGGCCGCCATGCGGCCCACCAAGCCACTTTCTGAGGCCTGAGGTGCTGCGACAGGAAACACAAGTAAACACTGTTTACTGTCGTTTCCACCCCTTGTCCCTCCCCCAGCCTCTCAGCAGGTGACCGGGGAACATGGACTATGAGGCAGTTGGCTGCCCAGTGACTGACCCTCTCCCTGGGGGGAGCAGGGCCCCTGTCTCAGCTCTCCTGACTGTAGCCATGGAGGCTGGGGTGGGTGCACTCGTACCAGGGGGGTCCCAGGGCCCGGGCCGAGGTGCCCCCCTGTCCCCTCCATGCCCATCACACGGCTCCTTTAAGCCCCGTGCCAGGGGAGGTCTGCACTGCATCAGTGGGGAAGGGGCAGCGTGGTCTGGTGCAGGGATGAGCACGCGAGCGTGAAATATGGCTGCCCGGCTGTCAGCGGGGCCGCGTCCTCGGGTGGGATGCTGAGGAGCCTGCGTGGTGGTGCCACATGCATGCGTGCGCTCGTGAGGAGGAAGCACAAGGTCACACTCGCGCCTTCCTCCTCCTCCTCCTCCTCCATGGGAGCCAGGGGCGAGGAGGGAGGTGGGCTGTGCGGTGTGACCGTGTGTGAAGACCGGGCTCCTCATCCCCAATGGAGCTGGACAGCGTTCTAAGGCACTGGTTCTCCTCCTCCTCCTCGCTGCTGTTGCTGGAGACCATAGCCGGCTGCTCCTCCACGGCTTCCTCTACCTGGTGCTGTACGCCCACATGTCCCAGGGCAAGCCTGCATTATACTTCTTTCATTCATTGAGAAGTGAGTAGAAGCAAAAATGTTTATTTTAGTCAAGTGCTTGGTATTATTTCATTGTTGCTTTTATATTGTTTTTATTTTGGATTTTAAACCACATTTCCAGACCCAATTCATTTTCACTTCCTGCAACTCCATTGGTGTCAAAGGTCACGTGACATCACTTCCTGATGTGATACCACTTCCTGTGAGGTCTTTGAATATGGCTCGCCAGTCCACTGGGTGATAAAAAGTTCATAATGTGGCCCCACATTCAAAAAGGTTGGACACCCCTGGACTAGATGATCTCCTGAGGTCCCTTCCAACCCTATTTTTCTCTGATTCTATGATCTATGATAGATTCTATGATCTATGATAGATGCATTTTGTTTGACTGTGTTTGAATCTTTAACGGTAATTTGATACATTTTTTGTGGTAAGTTTCCTTTTCTTTTAAAGTAATCAAAATCACCCTAATATGTAATAGAAGTGTAATCTAATGATATAGGTATTAGGGCTGTGCAAAGCTTTGGTCCCTGATTCGATTCGGTGGGGATTCGGCCCAATCTGGTGGCCAAATCTCCAAATCTGAATCGAATCAAAGGACCCTTTAATCTCTCCGAATTGAATCGGAACCCTCTGAATTAGTTCGGAGAGATTTGGAAAGATTCAGTGATTCAGACATAGACACAGCTTTAAATGTTTTTTCTGCATACCACTCGGTAGCAGTTGGCTTGTGAGTTCTGTGAGCGCATGGAGCATCCCACAAGAGTGCAGGGGGCCCCCCTTGCACGCTCCCCAGTAGATCCGGAAGTGGACCAGAATTACTTCTGGTCCACTTCTGGGTTTGCCGCTGAGCACATGGAGCCCCCCAACACTCCTGTGGGACGTTCCATCTGCCCCATCATTGCAGTATTCATGAGCCGCACTGGTACCTCGAGGTATGTAGAAAACACATTTAAAGCTATGTCCGAATCACTGATTCTCTGAAACAGCATCAAATCTTCAGATTCGGATTCAACCGAATCAAATCAGGGACAGTGATCTGAACCAATGAATCGAATCACTGTCCCTGATTTGGGTCGAAACAGAATCCGAATTTAATAGGGCCCGCTTTGCACACTCTTAATAGGTACACGCCTCAAGACATGCTTTAAGAACTGCATTCCTCAGAATTAATTTATTTGCTCTATGATCAGTCTGAATCTGACACACGTCTCCCAGTTATAAGCACCTTTTAAATACACCATCGATTAGAGAGGAAGATCTAAAAGCATTCATGAGGTTGTAACTCCCATAAAAAACTAGTTCCTTGGATTCAATGTTTCTAGTATTCTGGAGGCAACTGTATTGCACTATATGAAATAGAGGATAATACAATTAAAAAGGAGCTTAATTTCATTTATCTCTCAGTGGGAGGGTTGGCATTTCAAGATCTTCAGGGAACATAAAGCAGTATAGGATGACTTCCAACACAGCTCCATTGCTTTCCTCAACATTTTGGCTTGGTCAACAACCATGATTCAAGCATTTTTTGGATGTCAAGTATTTAAGAATGTCATTTTTTTAAGTAATAGCTTAGCTCATTTTTTCTTAGACTGAACTTCAATGTTTTTCATTTCATACTGCAGGGAAACAAATGCATTAACTTTCAAGTCTCATTCTTCATGTTCTCTTAAAGATTTTGGGACATTAGTGCAATTTAAGTTACAAGATTGGACCACAAATATCTGCTAGCTTAAACACAGGGCAGGGACTATAACTGAGAGGTCAGTTTCAGAGAGAGATGATGTTAAAAGTGTACCATTCTTCTGTGCCATCATCACCTGGCATGCTTTAATAATGAAACAGCTGCAGAATTTCAACTTACTACAGTACCGGAGTTCTGAAGCAAAGCATTTATTTTCAGAGACCTTTAAACTTCTTAAACAATTCCATATGGGGATGTGAGTGGCAGAAAATTGAATGTAAACTTTCAAAAGGAACTGCTCACCAAACTCTGTGCTTTATGAAAGGGAGCTGGAAAATATCCCTTTCAAAAGGCAATGGAATCATCCAAAGTCCAAGAAGCAAGGTCCAGTTGTGATCTCCAGGGAGCAGAGATAATATCTTCAGAGATAATATCTCCATGTACACACACAGCAATTATAGATCTGTGCTAATTTGGGAAAAATGTTGAAGTTCAGTTTGTTTTCACACCCTTCCATGAAGGCCTCCAAGTATCTTGCATCCAGTGATTATAAAACATGATTCAAATCCTAGCTTCCCTAATCTTAAGGAATGGAAACTCCCTTCCCCTCTGTATGAAGATCTTGTTTATTCTCTACCAACTAGTGAATTCTGTTCAAACCTCTTTGCTTTTTCCAGTATAATATAAATGCCAGACACAGAAAGATCTGTTAGCCTTCCTTACGCATGAGGTGTTTTTGTAAATTCATACGTGAATACTACAGTTTAGTCAGATTCGATTTATATTGTAGTCTGTTTACAACAAGTGATTTTTTGTTGATTTAAAAGATCTCAAGCAAGGTGGCATCAGTGACTGACAGAGGCTGTTATATCAAATAGTGGTTTACTATAACATGGCAGTTAGCACCCTGGTAGATAAGTACCAGGAGAGATCCATTCAGGATTCGGTTATAGAGTGAAGGTTTAGGTTTTCAAACAATGGGCTAACAATGCCAGTGCAAAACTAACTTTTATCATGGAATCTAAAGATCTAGGTAGGAGAAATATAAAATAAGCCAGACAGATGTATATAAGCCCCCTGCTTATCTATAAAATACCCCAGCATCCAAAGGACCTCAAATACACCATTGAAAAATAAGTTCAACATACTACACTTGCCTGATTGTTATTTAAAAAAAAAATCCATATATGCCCAATGAGACTTGACTGAACTCATTTGAAAATCCTCTAGGATCCTACAGTTACCATTCAAAGCATTGGAGCTCCTGACTGTACACTGCAATACTTTGGCCTTATCACTACAGAAAGGTGTTGTCCTCTGTAGTAATTAGATAAGGTTTGCAATATGTGATATTCTACATGCATGTGTTCCTCTCCTTGTTACAATGCTGGTGATGCTATTACTGCATTTAATCACATACTACACATACTCTTTTCACAGAAGTCAGCCCTCCAGATTTAAGGTGCATGGAGTTTTTTTTTTGCCAGAGCAGAGGCATGAAGACACTATGTTACAAAATGGCTGCCAGCTTCTCTCTCAGTAAGCCAGCAGGAAAGTTGGAGTCTAACATTAACTCTTTCATTTCATAGATGTTCTCAGCTTCCTAACAGGGAGAGAAGCATTCATTTTGCAATATAAGCCTCTATGAAAGAGCCAGGTCTAGGCCATGACTCTGGACAAATTTTTCCTACATCCTCTCCCCCAAAAAAACAAGGTGCGTTTCTAATTTGGGGTGTTGTTATGCCAGAAAATATGCTATTTAAAAAGTATTAGGTCTTGTAAGCATTGAAAATTCAATCAAACATTTAACAAGAATTTAAAAATTGATGCTGTTACTCACATTATTGATCATAAGGTGCATGATTGTTTTCGGTATCAGATCTCGGATGCACTTATTGATAATAGACATGTAGGAGTCTACAAGGTTGCGAATAGTCTCCACCTGCCTTTCCAGCTGTGGATCCATGGAGAAATTGTCTGCTTGGCCATTCTGATCATTTTCAGTCTATGCAAAAGCAAAAATAAACATAAATGCTTCTTCCCATGCTATTAGCTCCACTGAAAGTTGAAACAACAGTTAGAACAAAACTTGGTAATATGTCAACATAATTTTTTGATATCAGCATGTTTGGAAATGTACTTGTCATCAACCTGCTTTCCATTAGTTCTTAACATAAGCAAATCAGGATCTGTAACATTAAAGGGGTCCATTTTGAGAGGGTGTTTCATGCTGTAGGTTCCCTTACAATAAAGAACTGAGGAAGTAGCTGAAACCCCATGAAGTTCTATAAAGTCCCTTCTTGCAGTGCTTGCTAGGGGACAGTCCATATTCCAGATTCAGCCTGCCAAACTATCTGCTGACTCATGCACAAAGTAGCACTAGAATTCTGATTTGTAACCTCCACTCCTACAGATAAATTATATCCTTATTATTAAAGACTGACTCAGCTGTCACAAACATTAACTCAACCACAAACACATTAGATGCGACTGTAAGCGTGTGTGTCTGTGCAGTCAATTTGGACTGTTTGAAACCAAGAAAACTACTGTGCAATGTGGACTGTCTGAAAATAAGAAAACTAGCATGCATTGGTTTTATATTAAATTTAACCTGGATAATCCAGGGTGTCATCATCCTTTTTCCTTTTATCCACACCAATACAAAATAGGTCTTGATGAAAATGCAGAAGAGAATTTAAGCTTTTCCGGTTTTGACCCCACCACCTTAAATGCTCAGCACTTAATCAGAAAATGGTATTTTAAGGTGCATGAAGTTAGGCACCCCTACACCTGACACACAGAAAAATCACAAGTGCTTTGGATAATCTTGGTTTTTGTTGTATGTATCATTTACACCTCCACTGCCAAGCATAATTTTTTTAAAACAAATCATAAGGTGACACATGGGCTTTGTGCTAACTTTTTGCATAAGTGTGAATTTTGCCCCAACAGAGTAAACTTAAGGTCAAGCCTTCTTTTTTAATACATTAAAATGAGCATTAAAGAGGAAAAGATATCACCAACAGGGAAAATGCCCACCATGCAGAAAGCCATTTTTTCCTAGAAAACCAAGGCATGCTTTTAGTCTTAACATGTAGGTAAATCATTTAGAATAGCATTTCACAATTACTTTTTATAAACTGCAGCTTAATCCAACAAATGGAGAGCAGCCGTACTTTTCATTTTTCATTACTGAGTTGAGAAAAGTCTATATACCATTTAGAAAACAAAATATGCTGGTTGTCATTGCCTTTAAAAGAACAGGTTGCAGCAAGTTTAAAAGGTTAAACTTTTTTAATTATAGCCAAACTAATGGAAAAACAGCTTATCTAACACTGTTAAAATAATGAACAGTTTCCTACAAACTCAAAGATGGTAAATAGCTCTGAAGAACTGTAAATGATGGAAGTTCTGTTCTGGATTCTGTAACACCAGTAGACACACTAACACACAAACCTGAGCCATTCTGTTAATGTACTGCATATGGTGGAGTCCAGAGTGCAGACTGAATGCGTCTTCCCCTCCCTTACCCTGGGCTTGGAAAGAAACAAGCAGTAATTTCCCCTTCCAAAATACCCAAAATAAATGGAAAATCATACATCTATGGAATTTTTTCTTTTTGCCAAGTAACTGCAGACAGAAAATGTCCCTTTCCCAGCTCCCTCAGATCTAATGTGAATGCTCTATCACCTCCTCCTCACTGCCTATACAATGTACAGTATGTCTACGGGGTTTTTTCTGTTTAAATTACAGGATTTCAACAAAATTCTTTGATGGTTAAGCAGCTAAGTGACAGATGTTTATCATTATCCTCATCAAGGGAACGTAAAATAAAAATAGTAATTTGTCTGATCTTGAAGGTGAATGGTAATAATCTGCAAACATTTAACCTTTTCTATGCGGGTTCATTGGCGATATTTAAAAATGTGGATAACACTTCAAGAGTCAATTTTCTTTTTTAAATGGTTAAACAGATTGAACTTCATAGTTGATGTATTTTTCTTTTCTTTATTTGTAAATTTGAAAGAAATATATATTTTAAAAGTCTTTCAGTAATAATAGTCTTCACCATTTATTGTCTTTTTACTGGGGGCTCTTGCTTACATTGTGAGGTTTTGGGGCAGGGAATGTCTTTCTGTTCACATTTGAACAATACATACTCCTGTGGTGTCCTGATCCACAATGAGGGCTCCTAGACAACACTGCAATTATAATAATCATCATCATCAAAAAGGGCAGTAAGAACCACCTATAGGAATTATCAGGCTGGCTCCAATGTTTTTATGCTTGAATTGTCTTTCAAGGAATAAAGGTACTACATAAAATCAGATTTAAAAAAAAACAAACCAGAAAAGATCTACTATAATCCCACTCCATTTACATTTCAGTATTTTAAAATTACACAATTTAAACACTATGAAACATGAAACACTAATGTTAGTACAACACACCTTTAGCAAGGCATACTAAACTACCTGAATGCATTCCAATTTACAACCTTCCAATACAAACAGGTTGATGAATCAACCAAAGACAGAATAACTTTAAAAATCACTTTTTGTTTATAACCATGTGACCATTTATTAAACATGTTTAAAGGTAATGACTAAACTGTTCAAGCCACTGGTTTATTTATGAATACTGTATTTTCCTGCATACAACAAATGTAAGTGTGTGTGTGTTGGGGGGGATGGGGATGGAGGGGAGGGTTCAGTATGAAGAAAAAAGGGCCTTTTCTTCAAAATAAGAATAAATATTAGTAAGTAACTGAGTCACAGCTTTGGCAGCAGGGTTCTCTCCAGGTAGGTGGGGGCAGAGAGGAAGAAAGTGCCATTTTCTCTCAACAGAGGCAAAAACTGATATTACTATACTTCTTTGCTTGCAGTGTGCGCCCCAGTTTCCAGCAGCTGAATTTTTGGGGGGAAAGGTGCATGTCATGTCTTAGAAAATATGGTAATTCTTACCTTTGTTCTCAGTGAATTCGGTTGAAAGAGCAAATCAGTCAGTTGTTGGGCTAATGAAACAGTGAACAATATGGTACCAATAGCTTTATTTAAAAATAAAGACAGAAGAACTATATTAGTAGCTGGTTCTGTTTTGCAGAATCTTACTTGAAAAATTCTTTCTTACTGGCCTGGATACAAGTGCTGACACATGGACTGAAAATGGCTGGAAAGGGGATAAACACTGAAGATAATCCAGCTTTGCAATTTTCCACTGGCATGGTCACCTGTGCATGTAAATTGTTCATGCAGCTGGGCAATTTGTACCTCTCATATGACTACTGGCTGCTACCCTCTCCAAACACCTTTTGGTGCCTCTTTGGATCAGTGGCAGCGCTTCATGTTTCTTCCACAAATTAATCCTACCACAGAGAGGAAAGAAGGAGAAGGAACGTGTAGACAGATTGTGTCAACAAAGCCACTGGAAAAGGAAATCTAAGAAGCTAGGAAGCAACCCTCCCTAGCTCCCCTCTAGTTATGGGAAGAAGCCCATGAGCTTCCCTTCCGTGCCTCTAATCATCCTATCCAGTGGCAACAGTTCATTCCTTCTCCTTTTACCAGAAAAAGAACATATTTCTTTCCCCCTTATTCCCCCAACCAGAAGCACATGTTCCTTTGTCTTCCCCTAGCAAGGGCAAACAAATAGAATTAATATCCTGGGCTGCATATTGATTTTTATTACTACTCAGAGTATTTGAAGTCTGTTATTTTTTAACAAAATTTTACTAGTTACCAATATGCAAATATGAGTAATTTTTTGCTGGACCTATTTGCTGTGGTTATTTATGTTAAGTTTGCTATCAGTTATGATCTTCATTAATGGTTTGTAAAAGCAGTATATTAATTACTTAAACTGACTCAATTATCATGGGAGGTTTTGCACACAGGAGGAACAACAAGGAAACAATAAGAAAGAACACAGAGGGCACCTATACACATGCCCAATACCTGCTCCGACATGTGCTAATTAGCAAACATTGGAGCTAATCAGCATGCTAATTAGCAAGTGGCAGAGCAGACTCTATTAATTGAGTCTCCTGGAGCATGCTAATTAGCACAGCCTAGAAGCTTCAGTGTCCTGTGTATTATTCAGGATCCCTGTGCTTCAAAATGGCAGCAGGGGCACTTTAGCTAAAGCTCGTTGAACGAGATGCTGTGGGTGCCTTAACTAGACTAGCTCTGAGAGACACTCTAATTAAAGTGCCCACCCCAGAGCACATGTAAAGACACCCTCTATGTTCTTTCTTATTGTTTCTTTGTCCTTCCTCCTGTGTGCAAAACCTCAAACCAAGATTCATTCAGAGAATAAGTGAATTAGATTCATCCTGGAAAAATGAAATTGATACAGTTAGTGAAAAATAATCCAAAACCACAGAAACACAATAGAAGAGGAAAACCTCAGAGCCTTACCAGTGAAAGCAGAAAGCTCAAAAGGTAATGTGGCATCCAGTACTGTGTGTCATGGAATAGAGATGCAAGATTCCTACTCCACATTCCCATCAATTGTAAAACAGGAGAAATAACACCTGTGCACTTTGCAACAGCATGGCAAATCTTAAATGATTACTGTTTAGAAAAATGCTTTAAATTTCTTGAATGAAAAGTGCTAATGAAATGCAATTTATGAATCAGTGTTACCATTCAGTTTCTGTGATGTAGTCACATAGAGCCATGGATTCAGGCATCTTCTGTATCAGAAGGAAGTAAGGTGTTCGGAGAAAGACAGCTAATAGGATTGAACGGTGATGAAAGTGATGCATAAGGGACCATTAAAATTACAGGTGAAATCCTGGCCGCACTAGATCCAAGAGGAGTGTCACTGCTGACTTCAAGGGGAACAGGATTGCACCCTACATGTGCATGTCTATGTAACTAAGGAGAGGAGACATAAGTCTTCAGGAAAGCTGCAAGCTCTCTGGAGTAAAAGGTGTTATTCTATGTGGTACAAGAGAATGTAGCTGAGAGTAATAGGTTACAGTTCAGAAAAGAAACAGTTCATGAG